ATTCTTGAGCTCTAGTAGTTTACTGGTAGCATCTTTATGATTTTCTATGTATAGTATCATGTCATCTGCAAACAGTGACAGTTTTACTTCTTCTTTTCCAATTTGGATTCATTTTATTTCTTTTTCTACCCTGATTATGGTGGCTAGGACTTCCAAAACTATGTTGAATAAAAGTGGCGAGAGTGGACATCCTTGTCTTGTTCCTGATCTTAGAGGAAGTGCTTTCAGGTTTTCACCATTGAGTGTGATGTTAGCTGTGGGTTTGTTATATATGGCTTTATTATTTTGAGGTAGGTTCCCTCTATGCCCACTTTCTGAAGGTTTTTATCAAAAATGTGTGTTGAATTTTGTTAGAAGCTTTTTCTTCATCTATTGAGATGATTGTATGGTTTTTATTGTACAATTTGTAATATGGTGTATCACACTGATTGATTTGTGGACATTGAAAAATCCTTGCATCCCTGGGATAAATCCCACTTGATCATGGTGTATGATCCTTTTAATGTATTGTTGGATTCGGTTTGCTGAGATTTTTGCATCCATGTTCATCAGTGATATTGGCCTGTAAGTTTCTTTTTTTGTGATATCTTTGTCCAGTTTTGGTATCAGGTGATGGTGGTCTTATAGAAGGAGTTTGGGAGTGTTTCTTCCTCTGCAGTTTTTTGGAATAGTCTCAGAAGGATGGGTGTGATTGAGGTGCTCGTATGTTGGGTGCATATATATTTACAATTGCAATATCTCCTTCTTGTATTGATCCCTTGATCATTATGTAGTGTTCTTCTTTGTTTCTTGTAACAGTCTTTATTTTAAAGTCTGTTTTGTCTGATATGAGTATTGCTACTCCAGCTTTCTTTTGATTTCCATTTGCATGGAATACCTTTTTCCATCCCCTCACTTTCAGTCTGTATGTGTCCTTAGATCTGAAGTGAGCCTCTTGTAGACAGCATATATATAGGTCTTGTATTTGTATCCATTCAGCCAGTTGGTGTCTTTTGGTTGGAGCATTTAATCCAATTACATTTAAGGTAATTATTGATATGTATGTTCTTATTACCATTTTGTTAATTGTTTTGGATTTGTTTTTGTAGGTCTTTTTTCTTCCCATTTTCTTTTGTTCTTTTCTCTTGTGATTTGATAACTACGTGTTTTTTTTTTAAATATACAAATTTATTTATTTATTTATTTATTTTTGGCTGCATTGGGTCTTTGTTGCTGCACACTGGGGCTGCTCTTTGTTGTGGTGCACAGGCTTCTCATTGCGGTGGCTTCTCTTGTGGTGGAGCACGGGCTGTAGGTGTGCAGGCTTCAGTAGTTGTGGCTCACAGGCTCTGTAGTTGTGTCTTGTGGGCTCTAGAGCACAGGCTCAGTAGTTGTGGCGCATGGTCTTAGTTGCTCCACAGCATGTGGGATCTTCCCAGACCAGGGCTCAAACTCGTTTCCCCTGCAGTGGCAGGTGGATTCTTAACCACTGCACCACCAGGGAAGTCCCATGACTATGTTTAGAGTTGTGTTTTATAGCTTTTTCTTTTTTGTAGATTTTTGGTTTGTGGTTATCGTGAGGTTTTTATATAGCAGTCTCTCTCTATATTTTTATATGTGTGATTGCTTTAAGTTGCTGGTCTCTTAATTGCAAATGCATTTCCGTTATCTTGCATTTGTACTCTTCTCTTCTCATGATTGCTGGTTTTGACTTCATATTTGTGTGTAGATGATTTCCTACCTTTACTGTATGTTTATCTTTACTGGTGAGCTTTGTCATTGGTAATTTTCTTTTTTCTAGTTGTGGCCTTTTCTTTCCCATCTAGAGAAGTTCCTTTAGCATTTGTTGTAAAGCTGGTTTGGTGGTGCTGAATTCTTTTAGCTTTTGCTTGTCTGTAAAGCTTTTGATTTCTCTGTCAAATCTGAACAAGAGCCTTGCTAGGTAGAGCATTCTTGGTTGTAGGTTTTCCCCTTTGATCACTTTAAATATATCGTGGCACTCCGTTCTGGCCTGCAGAGTTTCTGGGGGAAAAAACAGCTGATAGCCTTATGGGGATTCCCTTGTATGTTATTTGTTGCTTTTCCCTTGTTGCTTTTAACATTTTCTCTTTGTTTTTAATTTTTATCAGTTTGATTAATATGTGTCTCAGAGTGTTCCTCCTTGGGTTTATCTTGTATGGAACTCTCTGTACTTCCTGGACTTGAGTGATTGTTTCCTTTCCTGTGTTAGGGAAATTTTCGGCTATTATCTCTTCAAATATTTTCTCAGGCCCTTTTTCTCTCTCTTCTCCTTCTGGGACCCCTATAATGCGCATGTTGGTGCATTTACTGTGTCCCAGAGATCTCTTAGACTGTCCTCATTTCTTTCCATTCTTCTTTCTTTATTCTGTTCCGCAACAGTGATTTCCACCATCCGTCTTCTAGTCTCATTTATTCTGCAATTGATTCCTTCTGGTGTATTTTTAATTTCAGCTATAGTATTGCTCATCTCTATGTCTTTGTTTTTTAAATTTTCTAGCTCTTTTTTTTTTTTTTTTTTGCGGTACGCGGGCCTCTCACTGTTGTGGCCTCTCCCGTTGCGGAGCACAGGCTCTGGACGCGCAGGCTCAGCGGCCATGGCTCACGGGCCCAGCTGCTCCGCGGCATGTGGGATCTTCCCAGACTGGGGCACGAACCCGTGTCCCCTGCATCAGCAGGCGGACTCTCAACCACTGCATCACCAGGGAAGCCCTAAATCTTCTAGCTCTTTATTAAACATTTCTTGTATCCTCTCAGTCTGTGCCTCCATTCTTTTTCTGAGATTTTGGATCATCTTTACTATCATCACTCTGAAATGTTTTCCAGGTAGATTGACTATCTCCACTTCACTTAGTTCTTTTTGGGTTTTGTCTGGTTTCTTTGTCTGGAACATATTTCTCTGCCATCTCATTTTGTCTAACTTTCTGTGTTTGTGGTCTCTGTTCCTCAGGCTGCAGGATTGTAGTTCCTTTTGCTTCTGGCGTGTGCCCCCGGTGGGTGAGGTTGGTTCAGGGGCTTGTGCAGGCTTCCTGGTGGGAGGGACTGGTGCCTGCCCACTGGTGTGTGGAGCTGGGTCTTATCCTTCTGGTGGGCAGTGGTGTGTTTATAAGCAGCTGTTGGTTCAGGACAACTTTAGGCAGCCTGTCTGCTGATGGGTAGGGCTGTGTTCCCACCCTGTTGGTTGTTTGGCCTGAGACGTCCCAACACTGGAGCCTGCAGGCTTTCAGGTGGGGCAGGTCTTGGTGCCAAAGTGGCAACCTTGGGAGAGCTCACTCTGGGACCTCTACCACCAGTGGCCTTGCCCCTGGTGTGAGCCACAGCCAACCCCCTCCTGCCCGGGAGACACCCCAAGACCTGCAGGTACATCTGGCCCAGACTCCTATGGAGTCACTGCTTTGCCCTGGGTCCCAGTGCATGTGAAAACTTGAGTGCTCCCTCCAAGAGTGGAGTCTGTATTTCCCCCAGTCCTCTGGAGCTCCTGCACTCAATCCCTGCTGACCTTCAAAGTCAAATGCTCTGGGGGCTCCTCCTCCTGTTGCCAGTCCCCCGCTGGGGAGCCTGACGTGGGGCTCAGAACTCTCACTCCTATGGGAGAACCTCTGTGATATAATCATTTTCCAGTTTGTGGGTTGCCTGCCTGGCAGGTGTGGGATTGATTATATCGTGAAAGCGCCCCTCCTACCATCTCATTGTGGCTTCTTTTTCTTTGGATGTAGAATATCTTTTTTGGTAGGTTTCCATCTTTTTTGTTAGTGGTTGTTCAGCAGTTAGTTGTGATTTTGGTGTTTTCATGAGAGGAGTTGAGCTCAAGTCCTTCTACTCCCCCATCTCGTCCTTATCTCCACAACACACTTATTCTTTTACATAAGAAGATGAGACTAATATTAGGACCAGTGCACACTAATTTTTACAATGCCCTGTTGTTTAAGTACCTATTATTGCATAACTACCCCAAAATGTGGCTGTGTAAAAATTAATTTAATATGTTCATGGATTCAGTGGGTCAGGAATTTGGACAGAGCATAGTAGGAATGGCTCGTCTGCTGCCTGACGTCAGTGGTTGAACTGAGAAGTCTCAAAGGCTGAGTGTTGACAGCTGGGGGTTGGGTGATCCTAGAGTGTTTACTCACATGTCTGGCATCCAGCCTAGGAAAACTCAAGGACTAGGATTGCTGACTAGAGCATCTGTAAGTGGCCTCTCCATATGGTTTGGGCTTCCTCACCCAAGTATACCAGGCTTAGAGTAGTAGAACTTCTTAATGGCAGCTCAGGCTCCAGAAGAAAGTGTCTCAGCAAACAAGGTGGAACCACATTGCCTTTCCTGACCTAGCTTGTAAAGTTATGTAGCATTGTTTTAGCTGTATTCTCTTGGTTATACGAGAGTGAAAAATCCACTCACATTCAAGGGAAGAAAAGATAGACTCTCATATCTTCGTAGTAGGAGTGTCAATACGACTTTTATTATTATAAAGGAGCATGTGAAATGGACGATACGGTTGTGATCATCTTTGGAAAACACAGCCTGTTATCCCTGTCCATGTATGAAATGTTGCTGTAATAGACAGCCCACCTTAAGGTATTGCCTAGCTGTTGGAGTCCTTTGCTGGCTGTACCCTCTTACCCAAATGTCTCCAAGGAGCCTGTTGGTCACAGGACTATGACCTTGTTCCTAGTTATCAATAGTTAGCTATTAATGAGAATTACATGGACTTTCTGGAGAAGATGGAATACTTAAAATTCACACAATTTACACTGAACCTTTGTCATGAAGCCTCTTAGTGTGTTGGGAGAATACCTGTGTGACATAGACATATGTATACATAGACCTATGAATATTATTTCATTACAATTTAGTTAATGTAGTTGAAATTTTAGAAAAGTGGGGTAAAAGGATTGTTTTTTACTTAGGAGATAGTTATATGTTTCTGCTACATCATATCATAGGAGCAAGATGTTAACTGGTTGCATTTTACTGAAAGTGAGAATATTTTTGTTTTTTGTAGGTATGCAGTATGAGGAGGAGGAGGATGAAATCCCCCATATTTGTGGCAAGAGGCATGCTAGATTGTAATCAGGTAACTTTTTAGACCAAACTGAATCAACTTGAAAAAGCACTATAACCTATACAGGGATTTCCTGCTAATTCTGTTTTTGAAAATTAAATGTTCTATATGAATATGCTACATGAGAGCTGGTTTCTCATTTTATTTATTTATTTAAATATTTAACTTTAACTTTTGAAGTATTTCCGACCTACACAAAAGTTACACAAAGGAATCATGTATGTACTTCACCCAGATTCCATAAATGTTAACCTTATATTACATTTTCTTTGTCTTTTCCTTTTTCTCTCTCTCTACATGTATTTTTTTTCTGAAACATTTGAGAGTAATTTGGTTACATAAGAACATTCTTTTACATACTCATAATAGAACTCATCAAAATCAGGAAATTAAATATGAATACAGTTATCTTATTTAATTTAGAAACCATATCCAAATTCTGCCAGTTGTCCAACTAATGTTGTTTATAACAAAATAAAAATTTTTTTGATCCTGGATCCAACATAAGAGCACATAGTGCAGTTAGTTTTCATGCCTTATTTTTTTGTCTCCCATAATCTACAACAGTTTCTCACTCTTTTTCTGTTTTTCCTTACCTTGACATTTTTGAAGAATACAGACCAGTTACTTTTTAGAATGCCCCTCAGTTTGGGTTTCCTCATAATTGGATTCAGATGATTACTTTTGGAAACAGTGAATTTTCTGCTCTTAGTGCATTATATCAGGAGGCACATGATGCCTATTAGGTGCTATTAATTTGATTCCTTTGTTTTCTCATTATTTTAAATGGATGAAGTTACAGTAGGTGGTAGTATTTCAACCCAAATTCCCATTCAATTCTGAGTATAATTAACTGTAGTAAAAGTCAGTAAGAAACCTTACATATAGGTAAGAAGAGTAACTTTTAACTAAATAAAGTAACATCCTGCTACAGGATGTAAAATGTAAAAACTCTCCTCTCTTACCAAACTGACAGTTGCTTTGTATCTAGTAACATTATGATGCCTCTTTGAGCCTTGCCATCTCCAAGAGGCACATCCTCTCGATTGACCCTTTCTCCTTTTTCAAAGAACACATGCTTCTGACATTCTACTAGTTGTATTTGGAGGATAAGTGAACCTGTCTTGAACATTGTTTTGTTAAAAATCTATTGAGTTTTTGGTGTGTAAATACATATCTATTTTCCCTATTAAACATGACTATAAAAACTTCTTACTGAGATATTTTGTATTTTCTATGATGTTTGAGTATTAAACACCAAGAGACATTTTATTAGTAAATGCCTATATTCTGTAGGCTATGCCTATATTCTGTAATCTCTAGGGAGAAAGAATATTTTGATCTTGGCCAAAAGAGAATTGTTTTCAATGTATGTGACAGGTTGCTCAAGGATAAAATACTCTATTTGACCAGTCATTGCATTTAACATTTGTTACAAAATAAATTATTAGATGCTTATACTTGAATTGATTATAGGTGCTTTGGCTATTGTGAGATGACATTTTGTTTTTTCACTATTTAACATCAAGTGATCTGTCCCAAGCATTGTGAATGTGATATTACTTAATATCACCAATGCTTTCAATAAGATGATTTCTTGTACAATTATGATGGTAGATAGCATAAATATGAACTACTCATAGAGTTTAGGTGTTTAAAGAATAGCATTTGAATGAAGTACTACTGTTCTAATGATTTGGGGGAAACTAACTATGGTTCAGCTCCGTGGGGGACTGAAACTTGTTCATAGTTTTGTAAAGATTTTTCATTGTAAATTGTCCATAAAAACCATTGCTATTTATCTTACGGACAGTGCCTTCTAGGTGCGTCTTACATATCAATGGCTAACCCAGATCATTGTGAGAAATTTTTCTTTCCTGTCAGCTCACAGTCTCTACTGAAGGAAATGGCCCCCACCATTCTTGAGGCCATACCTTGTACAGGGATGATTGTGTACTGTGTTCTCTACCATAGGATCTGACTTCTAATATTGGTGGATTGAATCAGGGTGGGACTTTGACCCAAAGCCAGCCAATCTGTAGGCTGGCCAGTAACCTGTGTGGTGATCTGATGATGTCAAAATGGGAGGCTGATGATCAGTTGGGCTACACATGTTGTTTCAGAAAATTAATCTGAGGATGGGGGAGTTAGTTACTAAGGAAAGGAGGCTAGAAGCTAAGTCCAGCTATGCAGCTCTTCCTGTGTGGTGGTGAGGGGAGAGATTCCTCTTGCACTTATATCTACTTGTATCTTCATTGTATATCACCTTCCCCATCCCTGACATGAACAAGTGTCTATTCCTTATAAACAGTACATCTACTCTTTTAGATTCTTTGTTCTTCTTTAAGGCATCATTCTGTGATTTCTCTCTATCTACACTACTAATTCTGATCTCTCACTCTTGCTCCATTTGTTATCATCAGTCATTTGCTGAATATTTTCACTTCAGTGACTTATTCTCATCTTACCTTTAACATACTCAAAATAGAATAATTTTAACCTAAAGTTGAAATTCTTACCCATTCCATATTTCAGTCATTGATATCATCATCTTCACGGTCATTCAAATTAGAGGGTTTTTTTGTTTTTTGTGTTTTTTTTTACAAGAAACGCTGTTTAACTTTTGAGGTGATAAAAAAGTAAAATAACAATGAAATATTTTGTTTTTACATGTCATGTTGAATCAGACAACAACTTAAACAAAATCGTTTGTTCTTAGAGTATATGGAAATGAGCAATCCTCCATACTCATAGCAGAAATATTAAGTGGCACAAATCTCTGAAGAGCATTTGGGCAATTTAAATATTAAACATTAATTCCAATGAATCATACATTTTCTGAAGAAAATAATTATATACATCAGCTTTTAAGAATTTGCAAAGGGTGTTTATCTCCAAGTTGTTTATGATAGAGGAAAAAAAAGGGAGGAAACAATCTAGCAACCTATACGTTTATCAAGAGGAAATTGTTATATTATGGTACGAACATTAAAGGAAAGATAAAAGTCATTAAAATTATAGTGCAAATAATTATTTGTGGTCATGGAAGTTGACTATGGCGTATTGTCAAATTAAGAAAGCAGTTTCAAACAAGGTTTATAGCATGATTCCATTTTTGTTAAATCATGTGTATAAATATAGAGAAATTTGGGAGGAGATGCAAGAAATTTTAACAGATCTGTCTGCATAATAGGATTATGTGTTGCCATAATTTTTTCATTGTCCATAATTTTTTCATTGTCTAAAGAGATTTTAAATTTAGAAAATGTACAGTGAATATACATATAGTTCATACAAAAAAAACAAACAGATTTTCTCATTCTTTCATAGCTAAAGTATTGCCACGGAAATATTTTAATATTTCTTTTGTACTGGTAATATATGAAACAGAAGACTTGAATATATGGTTACAGGAAACAACAAAGCAGAGTAAAAAAAAAAACAACAACAACAAAACTATTTTCTAGACACCTTTGGTATGAGAGAATCAGAATTTTAAAAGTAATTACTTAAATGTAAATAAATAACTCTTGCATCTATTTCCGAAGTGGATTTCAAACAGCACACAGTAAAAGTCACTATAATAAAACCCTTTTTAAAAAGTATAGAGGAGCTGAGTAATATAGAGGAAAGGCAGAAGAGAATAAAAGATCTGGGAATGGGACTGAAATAAAAATCATGCTGGAAAGCAGCCTAAGTGATACAACTTCAATTTATCAGAAAATCAATTAGCGAACTTCTGATCAATCAAGGCTAAAAGTGAGCCTTCATAGGTTACATAGCTCTTAAGGTCTAATAACAGGAGACGTGGAGTTCATAAACTTTTACTGTTCTGAACCCTGAGACAATATCACTACATGTTACAACATATAACAGAGATTAGAAAACACAGTTGTTAAACAGAATGTCTGTGTTTTCTATATATGACTTTTGTAATGTTGGTACCTGGTTCAAAACTTAAAGCATAATTTTATGCTGTATATGTATGAAGAGAATTAAGAGTAGGCCAACTTTTTTTTTTTTTTTTTTTTTTAGCAGTACGCGGGCCTCTCACTGTTGTGGCCCCTCCCATCGCGGAGCACAGGCTCCGGGATGTGCAGGCCCAGCGGCCATGGCTCACGGGCCCAGCCGCTCCGCGGCATGTGGGATCCTCCCGGACCGGGGCACGAACCCGTGTTCCCTGCATCGGCAGGCAGACTCTCAACCACTGCGCCACCAGGGAAGCCCCTAGGCCTACTTTTTGACCTGAAATGATACAGGCTTATAACTTAAGAAATGTGGAAGTTAAGGTTTTACTATTCAAGTCACAATTTTGATAACCAGCAAGCACCTGGATTATGTCAACCAATGGAAAGAACAGTAAAATATCCTATAAAGCAGGTTTGTAGGCAACATTAAAAAACTCCATCATTAATTTCAGCCATCAGAAAAACACCATTTCAGGATATAAATTGAAAGGAAATTCAACTATTTCCTAGTATTTTAAACATTAATTCAAAATGAAATTAGATATTGAGTTTGTAGTAGCAATTTTTAAACTTTGGTTTCTTTAAAAAAATAGATGAGAAATTAGAAGATTTCTGTTTGTAAAAATAAATTACTTTGCAATCCTTGGGTATAAGAACTACTTTGGGCATATTTTCATGGAAGAAATTAAAGCTAGCAATATTATTAAAATAAGAAAAAGTATGCAATAAATGCAAATAATTACCACACTTCAGTTGGTTCAAAATGCAGTTAAAATATATCTAATTATACTTATTGCTATTAGCACTACATCAAAATCAGAAAAATATACCATATTATAATTAGGTGGTGTGCCTCTATAAAAAGAACCGAGGTTCTAAGATTCACTTATTTTTCCTCCAAAGAAAAATAAATAGCTTTGTATACAAAACCTTCGATCCTAATGTTTACTAAACTAAGCACCCATCAGTTGGGATTTGAAATTTACTGAGGACGATTCAGGCAGAGACCACTAACATCCCCCAAGCTGCTACAAACACTGGCTGGTGCATTAAGTTTTCCTCTCCTACAGGCTCTGGGCCAGGGCGATGTTGAGCGGCTTGGAGCCCAAGATGCGGCCATTCATCTCAGTCATTGCTTTAGTGGCCTCCTCAGGAGAGGAGAAGCAGATCAAGCCAAACCCTTTGCTTCACCCTTCTTCCTGCATTGCCTTAACTCTGCTAATTGATCCAAATGAAGAAAATTCCCTCCGTAGCTTTTCATCATCAGTGGTCTCATCCAGGTTCTTAATATAGAGTTTTGCCCCCCGGCACTGCCGAAATCGTTCCTGTTTCAGCTGCTCAGACATTTGCTTTAACTCAGCCTGTCGCTCTGCTTTCTTTTGTGCCCGGCCTACAAAAAGCAGTTGTCCATTTATGTCCTTTCCATTCATTTCTTCAGCAGCCTTTTTGGCAGCCTCATGGCTATCAAAACTCACAAAGCCAAAAAGCCTTTGGATTTCCCACTGGAATCTGTCATCACCTTAACACTCAGTGTTTTCCCATATTTGCTGAAAACTTCCCTCAGTCTCTCATCATCCATGTCATCTCCGAAGTTTTTGATGTAAACATTGGTGAACTCACTGGCTTTGTTTTGGAGCTCGGCTTCCCGATCTTTGCGGCTTTTGAATCTGCCAACAAACAGCCTGCAGTCCTTAAGCAGTGCGCCATTCATCTCCTGGATGGCCCTGTCGGTGGCAATCTGGTTCTGAAAGTGCACGAACACATAGCACCTGGAGCCATGATCATCACTCATCATCTTGGAGGACAGGATCTTCCCAAAAGATGAAAAGTGTTCATAAAGGGTTTTGTTATCAGTGGATTTGTCCAGATTCTTGATGAACACGTTCCCAATTCCAGATTTCCTCAAGTAGGCGTCACGCTGAGACCACATGAGACGGATGGATTTGCCCTTTATAGGGTCAAAGTTCGTGGTGTCCAGGGCCTTCTGGGCATCTGCCAGCTGCAGAAAGTTCACATAGGCATAGCCCAGAGAGCGGCAGGTGACCAGGTCCCTAAAGATGCGGATAGACAGCACGGGCCTCACAGCGCTGAACTTCTTAAGCAGCAGGTCCTCGGTGACATCCGCGTGGAGGTCACCCACGTACAGGGAGGCCTGGCGGTACTTGGCAGCTACATGCATCTCCTGGCTCCTCACCACCACAAGCCGGTCCCTAAGGAGCTCCTGTTGTGACTTCTGCAGGAGGGTGGCCCGGGCTCATGCGTGGTGGCCTCAGAGTCAGCGCTCTGAGGCCCGGCGATGCGGTTCATTCATGTACAGCTCCCCAAGCTCGGGCAGCACCCTCAGTCAAAAGCCCCTCAGCAACCAGTCCGGCCAACCCTGGAAGCGGGCGACAGAACCTTGAAATCTCAAAGAAGGATTCCTAGGTCAAGCCGGTCCTTCCCGGCCACTTGGTGAGGAATCTTCAAGTGGCGGGCTGGCCCTCCATCTCAGCGTTCTCCGCAGCCATTCTCCGGTGGCTGGTTTCTGACTAAAAATAGGCCTCGCTCAGGCCGGTTTAAAGTTACAGCCGCCGGGGAAAAGAATTCCACAAGTGGCATCTGAGGCGGCGGCGGCCCGGGACGCGGCGCGCGGGCGGCGGGTGCGGGGGCCCCGGAGCCTCGAACCGACCGGGACCGGGTCGTGCAGGCGCCGCCGGCCGCATGCGCCCTGACCAACCCCGGCTGCTCTCCTCCCTGTAGACCCCGCCTAGAGTTCTTATTTTATCTTTTTTAAATCCTTTTTAAAAATTATATAAGTTTCAGGAATACAGCATTATAGTTCAACATCTGTATATACAACAGAGTGATCACCACCGTAGTCTAGTTACCATCCATCATCGTACAGTTGATCCCATTCACCCATTTCAACTACCCCTCAACTCCCTTCCCCTCTGGTAACCATTAATCTGTCCTATATCTGTGAGTTTGTTTTTCTTTTCTTTTGTTTGTTTGTTGGTTTGGTTTTGGGTTTTTTTTTTAGATTCCACATATGAGTGAAATCATATGGTATTTGTCCTCCATCTGACTTAGCATAATTATCTAAAGGTCCATTCATGTTGTCATACTTATTTTTATCTTTGTGCATTTTGTTTAGTTTTTATCTTCAGACACATTTTTCAAGAAATGTTTCAAACATATTGGATGAAATTGATATGTAAAGGACATTTGTAAATTAGGGCTTTCTTATAGTTCTTAAGTTCTGTTTGAATTATTTTACCAGTATGTCTCTTTCCCCCAAATTTAACTAAGCTCTACAGAGAAAGCGTTCTTAGATTTATTCCTTTTTTGGATACCACATAGTATTTTTTGTAATGATTTGTATAGAGTGGTTGGTATTTAATGATTAGTATTTACTGAATTTAATAATAATGGAAATGGGGAAATATGCTAGAAAGCATCACTGAGTTGTAACTGATTATGAACTCAGCTGTTTTTCCAGTTCCCATTTTGACAAGAAAGCCTTGGTCAGACAACAGCTGGATGCTTTTGATGAGTTTATTCAGATGTCTATTCGAAGAATTGTGGAAGATGCTCCACCTATAGACCTATAAGCGGAAACAGCATGCTAGTAGAGAAGTTGAAGAACCAGTAAAATGGTTATTCTAATAAAGTAACATAAATAAGAGGATTGATTTGAAATTTCAGTCCTTAACTCACCTGGCCTAACAGTTAAAAAAAAAAAAAAAGAAGAGGGTCTGTAGGTGTTTTTAGTAGTGTTCTTCTAGTATCATCAATCAGCTCCTGATTTATTCTTACTAATGGAGAGATGCATTTTTGCAAGTAATGTAAAACCCTAATCCGTATTCAGATAGTAAGTATTTAATAGCCAGTAAGACAGAACTCAGAGATATGATAGACTACTAAGAGAAGCAAGCCAGAAATAGTTATATTGCTTCAGAAAAACCTCACTTTTTTCTTTTACAGTGTAAGGAATCATAAAAGAAAAAGTATGTGAAGGACTTTTTCCCTTGATTATTTGTTGCATGAAATAACATTATCATAACAATAGAAGATATAATAAAGGAAAACCATCAATCATATTAGCTGTTTTAATTTTTCTAAGTTCATTGTAGTCTTTGTTTTCACATGCATGTTTTTTTAGCATTGTTAAAATCATAGCAAGGCTATAATTTTATTTAACTTATTTTTTATATAACTTTATTTATTTTTGGCTGCATTGGGTCTTTTTTGCTGCGCGGGGGCTTTCTCTAGTTGCAGTCAGCAGGGGCTACTCTTCGTTACGGTGCACGGGCTTCTCATTCAGATGGCTTCTCTTGTTGCAGAGCACAGGCTCTAGGCATGCGGGCTTCTGTAGTTGTGGCACGTGGGCTCAGTAGTTGTGGCTCACAGGCTCTAGAGCACAGGCTCAGTAGTTGTGGCTCATGGGCTTCGTTGCTCCACAGCATGTGGGATCTTCCCGGACCAGGGATCAAACCCATGTCCCCTGCATTGGCAGGCAGATTCTTAACCACTGCACCAACAGGGAAGTCCCAAGGCTATAATTTTAGAATCTAGTTTTACATGAATAATAATGACTGACCCTAGTTTTTGAGTAGAGAGGCAGCATGATGGGCCTTGAGGGACAGGGAAAACTGAAAAACAAGGGGAAGTAGGGAGAGCCCCAGAAATAGAATTAGACAGAAGGAGAGAATATTACTTCCGGCCAGTTCAGTCCCTCTTTTCTGTAGCTTATCTTGTAAGGGCTGATGTATTATTCTCATTCTGGCTGGAGATGCTGCACAGAATTCTGCTGTTAAGAACAAAAATAATTGGCACTTCTGGCACTGTGTTGGAAAATGGGCATAAAATGCCTTTTTTATACTTAGAGCATTTTCTCTTCATGGTCTTTGCAAAACAAGAGAGACAACAATATTATAATGTAGCATTTTCAAAGTGCCAGTGTCGTAAGTACTTATGGAGGAAGAGATCTCTCAAGCTGGTATATCAGAGCCTACAGGAAGAGATGGGAGGGACTTTAACTCTGAAGGGCAGGGTAGGACTTGTCTTAGTAGAGAAAAGATACTTAATCATTTCAGCAAATAAATACTTGGTATATCAATATTTGGCTTGGGGATAGATTTTAGGGTCTATAACAGTATATGATTTTTGGTTTGATTTGTTTTTGATAGGTATTAGTAGAAGATAAGATGAAACCAGATTGTCACAGCCTTTGGATGTCAAGGGGAATTGTGGAAAGATTGTCAAAGAATGTGCATGAAGCATTATTTTAGAAAGGTTACTTTGGAGATCATGTTTACTTGGCGTGGAGAGGCTGGAGTCAGATTAAAATCTTGGTATAGCTTGGGTTTCAGATAATAATGTCCTATACTAGGGTGATAGTAGAAATGAGTAGTTGGATGGCTGGCTTCCACTTGACTCATTATCACCACCAGTTCTCTATGCTTTTTTCCTACTCCAGTTTGGGAAGCTTGGGTGTCAACAATTTACCTTTAATGGTCTGCTTACTCTCATCTTCTCCTCCTCTGAGAATTGATCTAGAGAGAAATACACTATCCATTTATAATTGGAAAGTTTTCGTGGGTCTTGTTTTATTGGGCAGCAAATAGATATGTTACTGAAAACTTTTTTTTTCTGCTAAGGGCTGAGCTATAGTCAGCCAGGGCTAGAAGTATTCAGTCCTTTATGTAGAGTAGTAATTAGGATTTTCTGTATATTTAATTGAAGAGTTAGGTTTAGTTTTTCTATGTTCTATTGATGAGATTAGAGTGTACTTCTAATTGTCCAAATTTATCTTTTCTTTTTTTTCTGGTAACTGTACTTCTGACCTGAATGAAGGAGACGGCACATGAAACGGCTGTGTAGATCATTAGTGCAAATCCATTTTAATTGTTTCATATAAATTCAGAGCGTATGATACGTGTATAGTCTTACTTACTTGCGATATATTAACTCTTGATAAATGTTGCTTTTTGTCTTACACCTTAAGAAAGTGATGAAGCATAAAACTTTATGTCTGTGGAATATGGCTGTTGACTTTGGAGAGTACCCATATTAAAGTGGATTGATTTAGTCGGTTTATAGAGTTTCTTCTACTCAAAATGTTAATGGTGGTTTAAATGGAATCATTGAAAGTTTTATGGAAAAAAATTATTCACCCTCTTCATGTTTTTTGGTTTCATTTTAGCCAAGATATTTGCTGAAGTTTGAACAGCTTTACCTCTCCAAGCCCATAAGAGATGATGCTGCTTCACCAGTGTTGCCACGTGAAGCCAGATTAAGAAATCTCACGTAAGAAATCCAGCAGCTGATATTGAAATACAGTTTAGAAAATGCAGTTTTAACCAGTTGAGGGTTTTAACAATTACCTTACTATTAACTTGTGATCTGCTTTTATTTTCTGCTCCACTTTATAACAGAAACAGTCATTAAAGAAGGTGAAGAACAACTTCAGATGCAGCATCAGAAAACCTTTATTGGTAAAGTTCCAGTTATGTTGCATTCAATTTACTGTCTACTAAATGGCTTAGCAGATCATGATCTTTGTGAGTTACATGGATGCCTCTTGGATCCTGATGGCTACTTCGTTATTAATGGATCAGAAAAGGTATAGTAGCGTTATTTTTATAAATTTATTTTATTTGATTATTATTTTTGGCTGTGTTGGGTCTTCGTTGCTGTGCACAGGCTTTCTCTAGTTGCGGCGAGCGGGGGCTACTCTTCGTTGCGGTGCGCGGGCTTCTCGTTGCAGTGGCTTCTCTTGTTGCGGAGCACAGGCTCTGAAGTGCGCGGGCTTCAGTAGATGTGGCGTGTGGGCTCATTAGTTGTGGCTCGTGGGCTCTAGAGCGCAGGGTCAGTAGTTGTGGCGCACAGGCTTAGTTGCTCCGCGGCATGTGGTATCTTCCCGGGCCAGGGCTCGATCCCATGTCCCCTGCATTGGCAGGTGGATTCTTAACCACTGCACCACCAGGAAAGCGCTAGTAGCATTATTTTTTTTAAATTACACAATTATCATTAAGATTTAAATTATGAAAGTTGAAATTAAAAAGTAAGCTTTTCTATAGAATAATCTGAAAGTGGTAGTTGAATTATTTAGGGGGGTGACAGCTGAATTTATATAAACCAAAGTTTTATTTAGCTGTATATAATACGCACTAGAAATTTGGTCAGTTGTTCAAACTTGTATGTTTCTATGGAGCATTTTTGCAAAATGGAGTTTGTAAAGTTCAAGAATTGATGTTTCAGTGAGCCTGTATGATGAGATTAAATTAAGATGCAGATTTCACGCTTCTTTCTACTTCAAGGACCTTGTGGGTTTTATGGCTGTAACTTTTATTGTCCATATAGGTTCTGATTGGTCAAGAGAAAATGGCAACAAACACAACCTTTGTGTTTGCCAAAAAGGATTCTAAGTATGCCTACACAGGAGAGTGTAGATCATGTCTGGAGAATTCTTTTGACCCACTACCTGGGTTAGCATGCTGGCAAGAGGAGGACAGGTATGGACTATTACATGATATTGTTTGGGTTTATTCCTGTTGGTCTAGTTTTGTAAGTTACCAGACTACATATTTAGTCAAAAAGTTTTTCTGGAGCATATTATCAGTGTTATATGCTAGGTATTTTATTATATACTTACTACTGTGTAATAAATCACTCCAGTAGCAACATTTATCATCTTACAGTTTCTGGATGTGGCTTAGTTGGGTCTTTTAGCTAAGTATCTCTCACAAGCCTTCAGTCAAGTTATTTGTCTGGGCTGCAGTCATCATCTTAAGGCTCGTTTGCATGGTTGTTGGCAGGAATCAGTTCCTTGCCGCTTGGCTCCCCTCCATACAGCAACTGATAACATGGCAGCTCACTTTGGCAGAGAGCGTAATTCAGAAAATTTGTAGAGCATAAGGGCAGGATGGTAGTCACCTTTTTTTTGTTTTTCTTTTTTTTGGCTGCGCCTCGAGACTTGCAGGGTCTTAGTTCCCCAACCAAGGATTGAACCCAGGCCCTGGCAGTGAAAGCGCCGAGTCCTAACCACTGGATTGCCAGGGAATTCTTAGAAATCACCATCTTTTTATACCTTAATCTTGGAAGCAACATCCTATCATTTTTGCCAAGTTCTATTTATTAGATGCAAGTCAGCACATCCAGTCCATACTCAAGGGAGGGGATTATACAAGGCAGTAATAGTAGGCAGGGATCATCGAGCACTATCTTAGTAGCTGCCTACCCTAGGCATGTTGCTTATAATAATGTAATATAATAACAGCTAGCATTTCTTGAATATTTGCTATGTGCCAATTATGTTACTCAGTTTGCTTGATTTAATCTTTACAACTGTATTGGAAATTTGTTGTAATCAACTCTTATTTAATTTCATGTACATTTTTTATTGTTTTGAATAAGGCACATGTGCACATTAAAATAGTTCAAAAAATTACAAAAAAGGGTACACTATAAAAAGTAGTCTTCCTTTGATCCCCAGATTTCTTCCCCAGCGGTAGTTGTTTGTTTATTTATGGCTGTGTTGGGTCTTCGTTGCTGTGCGCAGGGTTTCTCTAGTTGCGGTGAACCAGGGCTACTCTTGGTTGCAATGCGTGGGCTTCTCATTGCTGTGACTTCTTTTGTTGCAGAGCACAGGCTTCTAGGTGCGCAGGCTTCAGTAGTTGTGGCTCGTGGGCTTTAGACCACAGGCTCAGTAGCTGTGGCTCATGGGCTTAGTTGCTTCGCAGCATGTGGGATCTTCCCAGACCAGGGCTCGAACCCGTGTCCCCTGCATTGGCAGGCAGATTCTTAACCACTGCGCCACCAAGGAAGTCCTGTGGTAGCTGTTTTTGATAATTTCTCATGAATCCATCCAGAAATAGTCTTAACACAAAATTATAAATGGGAGCATAACATATGCACTGTTTGAAGGTTGCTGGTATCCTTTAAAAATATATTTAGATCAGCAATTGATCATTGTTTTTGAGCTGTGATATTCCATGTGTAGATGTAGCATAATTTTTTTAACCATTTCTTTTTTGATGGACATTTAGGTTTCCAGTCTTGTGCTCTTACAAACAGTTCTGCAGAGTCTAGTATCACTTTTATAAGTTTTATAAAGAAGGAGTCTTGAACATCAGAGATGTTTAAGTGCCTGAAGTTAAAATCCCGTGTAGAATAGGTGTTTTAAAGAATTAAAATGGTTTTTACTTGTGAATGGGGGTAGAACGGGGCCCAAGCACAAGAGTTTGGAAAAGATCCCCAGGTGACTGTGATGTGCATTTTTTTTTGATAAGCATTGGCCTGGATTATGGAGGGCAAAAGTAAGAACCCAGTACGTTAGAGAGATTATCATGGCAGCTATGGGCAAACTGAATTAATTAGTGGCAGAGAAAGGAAAATCATCCAGATATAGTGATAAATTTGATATAATATGAGAATGAATCAATTAAGATTGTATGGTTCTTACTCTGAGGTCCTAGATAAAATAGAGAACTCCCAAGAATTGGTTTTTAGAGAGAACCTAGTGAGTTCATTTTTAGACAAAAGATTTTGGGTGGTGCATGATGTAGGCATTCTGCTTTAATGTTTTGCTTATTCAGAAAATTTTTTTTGATGAAACAAATAATAGACTGAATGGAATAATTGGTATCTAAGTTGAAAGAATGAAATAGCAATCAGAGACATGAGGGTTGACGGTACAGGAAAAAGATCAAGATGAAGATTTGCATATCCTTTATGTGAAGTTGTTACTGAACATCCGTGAGATGGGATAAGGTTTCCAAGGAAGGAGGCCTGAAGTAGGAGGAGGAAGACAACAGAAACTTTTATTAGATGGACCATGATAATGTAGGGTTATGAGGCCAAGAGAAGATAGAATTTGATATTGAAGGAAAGAAATTTGATTAAAACTGAGAAACCAGGTGTTGTGTAATGCAGTGTAAGCTAGTAACTTTTATTTCATTTCTGTCTGTGTTGCAGTTAAAGGGGGAAAAATTGGAAAAGAGAAGCTTATATGAGAGAGGCTGTTTGTTAATTTTGAAACATTGTTCGTATGTGGAGATACCTCACAGACCAACTAAGAGTTAATATTTGTTTTTCATTTTGTGCTTAGCTTTTCCCACATTTGTCTATCCATATTCTCTCTTATTTTGCCCTCATTTCTTTCTTTCTTCCAAAGTTTTTAATTTTTTTGGTTGGGGGAAAGGACTTGGGGGTCTGTGTTTTGCAGCCAAAGGTCATTTCCAAATCCAGCCTTGGGGAATTCTAGAGGATCTTGGCAGACAGAGAGAGTAGATAATGCAAGTTCTCTTAGGTCCAAATGACCAGTCTGTCCATCAAATGAGTAAACCTGTTCCATTGGTTTGAAAAGCAGCCATAGGACATTCCTTAAAATATGAGAGGCATGCTTCTTTTGAAATACATATAATGAACATGTATATAAAACGGTTCTTATGATGTTTATATATGGCTACGATCTCTGTGTCCTCATATTCTAATGATGTTTTTTTTTCCTAGGGTGCAAAAAGAGTGCTATTGTTCAGCACATTGTGGCAACCCTACCATATATTAACCCAGACATTTTCATCATTAATTTTTTTAGAGCGTTAGATTTTGTGTCTGACAGAGATATTTCAGAGCATATTATTTATGATTTTGAAGATCCAGAGATGATGGAAATGGTATTGCACAAGCAAAATGTATTCATAGTATTTTCATGAGATTTAAAGTTATTGACTGTTGCTAATCCTAAAACACAGTACAAAGCTGCTCTGAAGATCAGTTTAGCTGTTGCAAACCCCATGCTATTTACTGTGTAGTGCAAGCCTTCAGCCCTGCCTTGCCTTCTCTCCTGACAATTCTCTGTAAAACAGACATGAAACCTAGAGGCAGCCAGAGTTCATTGACATCAACAAGAAGAAAGAGTAGTAAGGAAAACCATAAAAGCATACTAGTCTGGCGCTATTTAGTATAAAGGGAAAAAGAGTAGTTGATACCTTTTTTTTTTAAACCTTTTACTTTGAAATCATTTCTAATTTATAGGAAAGTTGCAGATAACCCTCCTATACTCTGCACCCAGAATCACCAGTTGTTACCTTTGCCTCATTTACTTTAGGATTCTATTATCTATATATACGTTTTATTTTTTTCTGGACCGCTTGAGAGTAAGTTTCAGGCATTCATGCCCCTTTAACCCTAAATACTTCAGTGTATATTTCCTAAGAACCAGGACATTCACTTACCCAACTGTAGTATAATTATCCAAATCAGGACATTTAACTTTGGTACAACACTGTTAGCTTCGCCATCTTATTCAGGTTTTTGCCAGTTGTGCTGATCATGTCCTTAATGGCATTTTTTTTTTCTGGTTCAGAAATCTAGTCCACGATCATGTATTGCATGTTGTTTTTATGTCTCTTTAGTCTCTTTTTAGCTTCCCTTGTCTTTATTTATTTATTTATTTTTGGCTGCTTTGGGTCTTTGTTGCTGCACGCGGGCTTTCTCTAGTTGCAGCGAGCGGGGGCTACTCTTCGTTACGGTGCATGGGCTTCTTGTTGCAATGGCTTCTCGTTGCAGAGCACGGGCTCTAGGGGCGTGAGATTCAGTAGTTGTGGCATGCAGCCTCAGTAGTTGTGGCTCGCGGGCTCTAGAGTGCAGGCTCAGTAGTTGTGGTGCACGGGCTTAGTTGCTCCGCGGTGTGTGGAATCTTCCCAGACCAGGGCTCAAACCCGTGTCCCCTGCATTGGCAGGCAGATTCTTAACCACTGCGCCACCAGGTAAGTCCCTATCTTCCCTTGTATTTATCCTCAGTGTTCCAGAACACTGAAATTTTTGAAAAGGATAGGCCATTTATTTTGTAGAATATCCTCAATTTGGGCTTTTCCAATATTTCCTTATGATTAGATTCAATTTATGCATTTTTTGGCAGGACAAATACAGAGATCATATTGTGTACTTCCCAGGGCATCACATCAGGAGTCACAGGGTGTCATTTTGTCCCATTATTGGTAATATTAACTTCACAGTGGCATCTGTTAGATTCTTCCACTGTGAAGTTACTATTTTTGTGGAAAGGTTTGTTGAGTCTAGATAAATATGCATTTCCTTATCAATTTTTTCCATTGATGATCCTTGTCTCAGGAGTAATTGATATTCTTAAAGTTGTCCTGAATTGTCCAGAGTCTTTAAGACCACAGAGAAGTAAGGTAATGTAGACCAAACACTAGTCACAGAGTTAGAAAGTGGAGTATATTTTAGTTATTAGAGTATTTATTGATATGGTTACATGACCCAAATGGATTCTTTAAATCCAACAGAGAATGAAACAAACAAATAAAATTCCCCACCCTTGTGGAACTAACATCCTAGTGGTTGGAGATAGACCATAAACAAAACATTTACGTGGTATGTTAGAACTATATGTCATGTATTTGCCATCCCTGCTATAAGGGTCAGTTAAGTTACAGGGGTGAATAAGATTATCCAGGGCAGGATGGAGAAAGGAGGGATGGGGACAGTT